ATTAAATTGGATTTGTATGGGCTCGGGCCCAATCTCGTTAGGGTTTGCTTTACTATTTAAACATACTTTGCTTTGTAATTTTTAGTTGATGAATGAATAATTATTTTGGTGGCTTATGGCGCATCCCTCTCCTTTTTCTGTTAAATTCTTCTTCTTCCCCCCTTAATTCCCTATTCTTTCTGAATCTGTCGTCTTTTTCTATTAATCATCTTATTGGTACTGCATCACTATGTAACTTATCTTTGGAATTTGGTTGATGTCAAAATGTTCTAAATTGGTGAATCATTTGATCTCATTTAAAAATCCCATTAAAATTGTTCAGTAGCATTTTTCTATTCCTTTGTGATTGAGTTCCAAATATGCCATGTTTTTTATTTTTATTTTTCGTGGTGGGGGGTGTTGAGGGAGGGATCTAGTCCTCCTTTAGGATTGACGAAGTAGCTGCCATATTTAATTAATAACTTCTGACTGATATTTGCAACTGCATCACTATGTAACTTATCTTTGGAATTTGGTTGATGTCAAAATGTTCTAAATTGGTGAATCATTTGATCTCATTTAAAAATCCCATTAAAATTGTTCAGTAGCATTTTTCTATTCCTTTGTGATTGAGTTCCAAATATGCCATGTTTTTTATTTTTATTTTTCGTGGTGGGGGGTGTTGAGGGAGGGATCTAGTCCTCCTTTAGGATTGACGAAGTAGCTGCCATATTTAATTAATAACTTCTGACTGATATTTGCACTTTCTTCCCAAATTTATTTGTTGTTACTGTCTCATGCATGTGTATGCATGTCCATATCTCTCCCATTCTCACTATGCTGTGCAAAAACAGAACTTCATTGTGAAGTCAACTAGACGTGTCAATAATTATAAACAATCTGTAATTTTGGAATACAATGTTGTAACTTGGCAGGGTACATATGTGGAGGGAATCAAAGAAGAGGTGGTTCTTTCACCTGCTCATGCTCTTTCACTGATAGCTTCCGGTGAAGGTACATGAACTTGTACTTAAAAACATTTTTCGTTATTTAGAAATGATATTTTGTCATTACTGGCTTGGCCATTTGTTGTGTCTATTTTCGGCATCAATAGCAATTCACAGCATTCTTCTGTTTTAAATACTTAAATGATTTTATTTTTATTTTTTGTGTTATTTTCTCTCTGGATAAATAATCTGTCTAACTTTTGATGCAGAGCATAGGCATGTGGGTTCTAATAACTTCAATTTGCTCAGCAGTCGGAGCCACACTATATTTACCTTGGTAAGATACCACGCGTTCTTGTTCACAAGTTGTGTTCTTTCTTTGGTAATGATAACATGCAGTTATTTTGTCAAAAATGTGTAATCTGGATTGTCCTCTTGGTAGTGCATACTTAGAATTAGATGGATGCAATTTTATTTTCCATCAGACATGAAGAATGATATAAAGTGCAAGGAATTACTTGATGACATGGAGGATTAGTTATGGCAAAAGGGATGATGTTTTTAAAAGGACTTAAGCAGGTCTACAATTTCTTGGATCTTTGAACCGATGCACGAATGCTATTCAAGCTGAGGAGAACTTGAAAATTGAATGAGGAATGCTTCAGATGGTTTTGTGCAATGAGGACTATCTACATTTCTACAAAATAGTGGCTTTAGTTTTATGGCCGTGCCATTTTCTGTTCTCGAGATAACTTTTTTTTTTTTTTTTCCTTAATGAGATATCAGATATCGTTGAATTCCAGATAAACTAACATGTAACATGCTTTGCTCCTGTTTATTGCTATTGTCTTTAGCTATAGTAGGATGAACCAAGTTGCATTACTAGACATGCCTTCTCTGGCAAGTGGTATTAGTACAAGATGTTGATAATTTTTTACCTTCTATTAACTGACAAATGATGTGAAATACAGATAAATTCTGTTTGGTCCTTTGCTCTAAGAGGGTCTTATTTTTATTTTATTTTGCAGACTATTGAAAGCAGCCGAAGTGGTGAAAATCATGGAGAAGAAGTGACACTGTCCCAACTAGTATGTTTTGTTTAAGTGTTACTATTGTCAATGTCATTCTTGAATCTTTTGTATTGCCATTGTCATTTTTAATTTTCTCTTAACCGTTTTTAATAAAACAAGTAATTCGAGGACAATTAGTACTTCTTTTCGGTCAAAGTTCCCATTTCTTCTTCCATTCTTTTTTCCTTTTTACCAGCATTCTGTATCAGGCACATTTCTACTCAATTTCCCAGTTTCTTTTCGTATGACTGGCAATTTGGGCATATTATTTTGTATTGCCATTGTCATTTTTAATTTTCTCTTAACCGTTTTTAATAAAACAAGTAATTCGAGGACAATTAGTACTTCTTTTTGGTCAAAGTTCCCATTTCTTCTTCCATTCTTCTTTCCTTTTTACCAGCATTCTGTATCAGGCACATTTCTACTCAATTTCCCAGTTTCTTTTCGTATGACTGGCAATTTGGGCATATTTTACTAACTTTCTTTTATAGCATTTAATTGACTTGGCAGGATCTGAAAGTTCTAAAACAGAGACCACTGGGTTGAGGAGAAAAGAAGGTTCATACATAAATAAAAGCTTACTATCTCTTGGCACTGTAAGTATGTTTCTGTCTGATTAATTTTTCTAATTTTTGTTCTCATTTCTACTTAGTTACATGATGAATCATTTGCTTCCTCTGGTGTCGTTTTTGTTCCTCTTGTTGGTCAAATCTGAATGTTATGTTTGTTTAATCCTCTTTGTCACTCACAAGTTAAATTGCCCTTTTTTTTGGTGCTGAAGCTAAATATGTTGGAGCATCCTGCTTAAAATAACCATAAACAACCTTGATCATCTCTAACGTAGCACATCAAAGAAGACTTATGTGACCTGGAAGCTATAGAGAATAATTAAATTCTAATGGATATTTCCTGTGTAATTGGCTTACGTGGCATTTAATATGAGTGATGATTTTCTTCCTCATGTACTCTGTTTATCCAGGTGATATCTAAACTAACAGATGGAAAGTCTGCTCATATACCATATCGAGATTCAAAGCTGACCCGTCTGTTGCAGTCATCTCTTAGTGGCCATGGTCGGGTTTCTGTAAGTTTTAGTGCATTTGTATTTGTTAATTAATTTATTATCTGCAGCTTCAATTTCCATTAAGCACTTAGCTGTGAGTTTGAAATCTTTGAATTCGATATTAATGTACTTTATAAGTATTTAATATTTAATTTTCCTTCTTACTGAAACTTGACTGTTCTTTGAATCTTTTTGTAGCTTATTTGCACAGTTACACCTGCCTCTAGCAATACTGAAGAAACACACAACACACTTAAGTTTGCTCATCGTAGTAAGCATGTGGAAATCAAGGCCTCGCAAAATAAGGTGAGATTTGTTTCGATGGTTATTATACATGTCAAATTTTTCAAGCTGATGAATTTTTGTCAGAGGTCACACCTATAATGTTTCCTTGATTGCTCTGTACAGATTATCGATGAGAAGTCTCTCATCAAAAAGTACCAGAAGGAAATATCTAATTTAAGAGAAGAACTTCAGCAATTAAAGCGTGGCATGATGGAAAACCAAAATGTGATGGCTCCACAGCAAGAAGATCTAGTTAATCTGAAACTTCAGGTTTGCTCTTTCAGAGAATGTTCTGAAATGAACGTCTACGTTTTCCAGTTGTATCATAGTTTGCATTGAGAAAGAAGATTAATGGACTAATTGTTTATGATTATTATGGTGACCCTTCTTCTACTGATACTGGCTTTGACATGAAAAGGCTCAAATTATGACAATCTGACATAAACATTCTAGCTGAAAGAGGAACGTATCTCTGATTTTTTTAATATTATTCATTAACTTTGGTGGAGATTACTAACTTCATAAATTCCCATAACTAATAATTTCAGTCGTGGTAGATGGCCATATTAAAATGGTTAAGACATAAAACTGGCTCAAGACTAGTTATAATGTTGAAACTAGTTGTTGACGAAGAAGCGTATTAAGTTGACAAGAACAAGAAGATGAACAAAGAAGTGTCCAAAAAGAGAAGAATTGAGGGGAAATATACTAAACAAAGAAGGGGACTGTTGCGACAAAATTTTCTTGTTTTTGTGATGTTATAAGGTTTTTTGTGCATGAAGGTGTGTAGGGCTTGGATGGATGGTAGAAGGTGGCGGTTTATGTATATGAATTGGATGGGAACGGTTGGTGGATTTGTGGATTTGAGAAGATGCTCTGATGTCAAATTGATGCAGCGTATTATGTTGACAAGAACGAGAAGATGAAAAGAAAGGGGTCCAAGAAGAAAAGTGTTGAGGGCAAAGAAATATCAATTATTATAAATAATCAAGGATTTCTATTATGATGAATAAACCTTCTATTTATAGAGCAAATAATCTAAGAAGTTAAAATCAAACAAACTTCTAATAAACTATAAACATTATCGCAATATTAGAACTAATCTAAATAAATATATTTTAGTTCAAACTCACTTTTAAAATTTTATTCTATTTCTATCTCCATCAATTGTATATCTAAATGACCGAATAATCTGCTAGTTAATTAGTTCATTAGCAATCTGTTTCGTCTAACAGTCTTGATGAATTTAATATGTCCTCTGCCCTAGTAATTATCAACATATTTCCTTTGCTAGTTCTAGTTGCATGTTTCGTTGCGAAACTTCGTCAATGTATTATCCTTCTACTTCTTCAGGAAAGATGAAGTGCATGGGGGTGGGATGGGGAGACTGGAGGTGTTGGAAAAATACTAAGAACATGTTTGAGCCCTATTATAATCTAAGAATGCATTTCGGAATAGTAGTTTAATGGAGAATATGTGGTTAAAAAATAAGGAAAAGTTTTGGATTTGCGTGTAATATTATTTTATTGAAGAATGTATGATTGAAAAGAAGAGAAAGATGTATTTTGGAAATAATGGGAATCAAAAAATGGCTATATTTTCTCCCAGGCACGGTTTCTGTGCACCAAATTAGTAAAATATTGCTAGATAATTGGATTTTCTAATATGCCTTATTTGTTGCAGTTGGAAGCAGGGCAGGTTAAGTTGCAATCGAGACTGGAGGAGGAAGAACAAGCCAAAGCAGCTTTAATGGGAAGGATTCAGAAATTAACTAAGCTGATTTTGGTTTCTACCAAAAATACGATACAACCAACCATCCGTCAAAAGCCTGGCCATTGGAGGAGGCATTCATTTGGGGAAGATGAGGTTAAAGGATAGCATTTTTTCTCTTCTCCAGATACCAGGAGGATTAATGTTTTATCTGACAATAGATTATAATAATAACTTTCAGGGATAGATGTCCAACCATACCTCATGAAAGTTCCAATTGTATTCATGTCTTATTTTTAAAGTCACTGTTCATGCAGCTAGCCTACTTGCCAGATAGAAAACGAGAGTACATGATTGATGATGATGCTGGAAGTATCGATTCTGAAATTTCAATGGATGGAAGGGGCGATGTCACAAATCTAGATGAGTTAGTCAAAGATTACAAAAGGAACAGCAGGAGAGGGATGCTTGGCTGGTTCAAAGTAAAAGTAAATAATTCAATATATTTTCTTTTTTTGTCTCTCACATTGTCTTGCTGCACAATTCATATTTAATTTTTGAAAAAGACCAGGAATATGTGATGTTATTTAGTAGATGCAGTATGTTATGTTTTTGCGAGATCACATGACGCTGGAGTGTCCTAATTTGATAAAGAACAAGATGATGAAATAGAAAAGATATCAAAGAAGAGAATTTAGGGCACAGGGAACAGCTTTACTCATATAATCAAGTATCTATTACAATGAATAAGCCCTCTATTCATAGAGTGAATAATCTAAGAAATTAAAATCAAACAAACTTTCAATAAACTATAAACATTATTGCAATATTAGAACTAACATAAACAAACATATTTTAAATCAAACTCTACTTTCAAAATTCTATTCTAATAGTTCATCACATCACCTCTTAACCATAAAGTGATTTTTCTGCGCGTGGAAATTTGACATGACTAGGACCATTTCCATGATGGACCTGATTTCATTTTTTGATGTTCATTAAGCGTTTTAAGCAAGTATAATTAGGCTAATTAGCTACTATTGGCTGTTCTCTACAAATGCCGTCAAGCCATAAGCATCCATGTGGCAAACCCGAAGTTGTGTGACATTGACATACCTTTCTCATTGGTCACTTTTCCAGCATTCTCTTGGAGAAATTTAGCTCTTACCAAGGATAGTGACCTGGTTTTGTGTCTCTCTTTGACGTGCCGCAAAGCAAGATTTCTTTTAGAATTAAATTTTGTGTCCATTAAGATTATTTTCTATATTCTTATGTGAACTATTTACATTTTCACAACAAATGCTGCATTGCCAATCTGATTATGCAAATGTGATACATTGATCCTACGCCGGTCATCCATTGTCCTAAAATCATCCTTGTTGAGTCCAGATAAGATTGTTTATGCTCAAAACATGCCAGATTCTACACCTATGGTCATGTAATTTACATGATATCAAGATGCTTCATTTGAAATTGTTTATGCTTATAGAACTACTTTTTCTTCTAGTCTATGAGCTTGCCGTTGGACTATTTTCCTTATTGGTACAATGCATATTTTATTGCCCCATATTGGCCATTCTCATGCTCTAATTTCTTGGTTATCTATTGAAAATGTGCTTTATTTTCCAAAATAATGTTAAATGTGTGAATTATAATCCTAGTCTGAAATGTAAACTCGTGTCTCTTAAATGCTCTTTTCCTTTGAACAACCAAATACTTATTGAATGAACTTCAGTTTATTTGAATTCAAGATTTTTTTGCAGTAATTATATGTTGTTGGTTATAGAAGATTGACATTATTGAATCACACCTTCTGTATTGTGTTATGCATTATTAATTCTAAATTAAATTGGGAGGGATGTACTTAAGGAAGTTGTTAATTGACATGTGGTTGGTAGATATTTTTTTTGATAGATAATCAGGTAATTTTATTAATCAAAAGTGAATACACAGGAGTGTATTATCAATTTAAACAAGAAAGATTCAATAAGAAATTAGGCAATCCTTATAGTGAGTCCCAGACGGGGTCTGATGTGGACATTTCTTCTGGAGATGAGAATCGAGACGAGATGGAAGGATCGTAAAGGGGTGGAGTGGAGCCAAGGATCGAGGCATATCGAGGGACAGAACCTCGGACAGAAGTAGGAGAACAGGGCATTATGAATATTGCCTCGGAAGTTTTGGAAGCGAACAAAGTTATTTGCTCTACGATCGTGGGGTCATTAGACACGATTCCACTTGTAAAAGGATCATTGCCAGATGATGTGCAAGAGGATGGACTTGAACTGGGTGAACACTCAGGGCCGGCACTTGAAGATCAGCATGGGAAAACAGGCTCGGCCACTAAGGCAGTAAACACCTACGGTAGGTGATGCACTAAGTCTTCGAATGAATGGGGTCTAGAGAATGATAATGCGTTGGTGGTGTGGATGGGTGGCGCTGAGAAGTGAAACACAGATAATGTTGCTGGACAGGTGGAGGAAGAGGAGGGACACTACTACGATCCTATTTATGCTGATGAGATAACGAAAGCTAGTGCACTTGACGTCAGACCACTACCTTCTAATTGGGTTCTTCAAAGAATTCTGGATTTTAGCAAGATTGTAGGAGTGTCCTGTAATGGGTATGAAGATAGGCTCTTACAATTGTTCGAGGATTTGGAGGCTAGCAGGGGACAAGGGATGGGGGCTCCAGGAGGTAAGACGAGAAGTAAGAGTGATCGTGAGCTTAAGCGGCTTGAATGCTCAATTAACTATGATATTAAGGGCGGCGAGTCGAGTAGAGGCGTGATGGGGAGGGATGATGGAGTTTTAAGATGATTCCGAAAATAATTAGTTGGAACGTACGTGGGCTTAACGAACCAGGGAAAATGTTAGGAGTTCGAAATCTATTGAGGAAATGGAGGGCTGACCTTGTATGTTTACAAGAAACAAAGGTGGAGGATGTATCGAGGGATATTGTGAGTAGCCTATGGGGGGGACAGCATGTGGGGTATCAGTTTGTAGGGTCATTTGGGACCTCGGGAGGTATACTGATGTGGGACACCAGAGTCTTTGATATGGAGGAGGTTAGCGAAGGTCTGTTTTCTCTATCAAACTCATTTAGAAATATTAAGGATAGCTTCCGGTGGATGTTCGTAGGAGTCTATGGGCCTAATGTAGATGAGCATAGAAGTGGACTCTGGGTTGAATTGGCTGGTATGATGGCTTGGTAGAACCTTCCAACGTGTATCGGGAGAGATTTTAATGTGATCCGTTTTCCTACTGAGAGGTCTAGTAGGGGGAGATTAACAAAGGCTATGGAGGACTTTTCAGATTTTATCAGGGAGAACGCGTTGGTGGACCTGCCTATGATTGGGGGAGACTTTACTTGGTCTTCTAGTCGGGATCAACCTATCCTATCCCTAATAGATTGATTTTTGGTATGTGGAGCATGGGAGGCTAAGTATCCAGAGGTCATTCAGAGGATAATGGAGAGACTGTATTCTGATCATTTCCCTATATCGTTTTCTGGGAATGTAAGGCGTGTTGGGAAAAAAAACCTTTTAGGTTTGAGAAGATGTGGCTCAAAGTAGATGGTTTTGGGGAACGAGTACGGACTTGGTGGACGTCTTATGACTTCAAGGGATTTCCCAGTTATGTTTTAGATTGCAAATTGAAGGCGTTGAAAAGAGATTTAAAGAGGTGGAATGAGGAGGTGGTGGGAGATGTTAACCATCGCAAAAATCAATGCTTATCGGTCATTGAGGAGTTGGATAGGAGGGAGGAAAGTAGAGGACTGGCAGGGGAAGGGAGAGTGAGACGAGGAGAATTAAGGGAAGAATTGGAGAGGCTGGTGGAGATGGAGGAGACCACTTGGCGTCAGAAATCTAGGATCAAGTTGTTGAAAGAGGGGGGCAAATGCACCCGCTTTTTCCATAGGGTCGCGAACTCCAATAGGAGTAACAATTCTATTAATATGTTGAAGGTAGATGGCGTTACCTTTGAGGATCCACAGGAGATCGACACCTAGATGGTAAGCTTCTATCAAAAGTATCGGAGTAGTTTGACTGGAGGCCAGAATTGGAAGGGCTTGAGTTTTCTTCTATATCTGAGGAGGATACCAGCTGGTTAGAGAGGCCTTTTGAGGATTCAGCATGAATGATGATAAGGCGCTAGGACCGAACGGATTTTCGTTCTCATTCTATAAGACTTGTTGGGAAATGGTGCGATCAGACATTGTCAAAGTCTTTACTTATTTCTTTCAATGTGGAAGGTTCTTGAGAAGTGCCAATATTACATTTATTGTGCTGATTCCAAAGAAACTGGGAGCGATGGATATTAAAGACTTTCGTCCTATTAGCCTTGTGAGCGGAGTTTACAAGATTATTGCGAAGATTTTGGCAAATAGATTGAAGGAGGTGCTGGGGAAAATGGTGTCCAAGTTTCAGAATGCTTTCGTTAAAGGACGCCCTACTTCATGTCGTCGTTTCCTATTCCTATTGCAGTGACAAAAATTGGAGAGGATCTAAAGGGATTTTCTTTGGGGAGGATTAGGGCAGGAGAGGAAATTACATTTGGTTAACTGGGGCATCGTATGTTCTCCTATGAGGTTGGGTGGTCTCGGATTGAGGAGTCTCATACTGTTTAATAAAACTTTGTTGAGTAATTGATTGTGGCGATTTGGAACAGAAAGGGGGAGTTTTTGGAGAGAAATTATAGAAGCAAAATATGGTGTTATGGAGGGGAAATGGTGTTCAGTCGAGAGTCGAGACTCTTATGGGGTGAGTCTGTGGCGGTATATTCGGCAAGGGTGGAGTGATTTTCGGGATAAATTGACGTTTATAGTGGGGAATGGTAATACTATCAATTTTTGGGATGATTGTTGGTGTAGAGATCAACCACTAAGATTGAAATTTCCTTCCTTGTATCGTATTGCATTGTTGCCGTCTGCCATGGTGATTGATGTCTTAGATATTCATAATGGGAGTATTAGCTGGAACATTGCTTTTGCACGGGGTTTGCAGGATTGAGAGTTAGACGACTACGCGCTGTTTTTGATATCTTTATATGAGGTACAAATCAGGGCAGGAGATGGTGATTGCAGTAGGTGGAGGTTGGCACGGGATGGCATGTTTTCAGTCGGCACTTTCTTTAAATCTTTATTGGGAGCTGAGAACAGCTCTTTCCCTTGGAAGGCGGTGTGGAAGAGTAAATTGCCACCACGAGTAGCATTTTTACTATGGACAGTGCTCAGATGACAGGTGCTAATGGCTGAAAACTTATGGACAAGGGGTTTTTGTATTACAGAGTGGTGCTTTATGTGTTGGAGGGATGGGAAGACGATCGATCACTTGTTCCTCCATTGTGATGTTGCTAGTTTACTGTGGAATGAGATTTTCGCATCGCATCGCATAGATTGGGCAGTGCCAAGGCGTATGGAAGACGTGTTAAGGGCATGGAGGAGAAAATTTCGCGACAAGGATAGCAGACTTGCATGGGAGCTTATTCCGGTTGCATAGTTTGGTGTGTGTGGAGAGAAAGGAACAGTCGATGTTTTGACGATCAAACAAGAACAACAGAGCAACTTAGAGAATTGTTTTATTTTACATTGTACATTTGGTTTAATGCAGTGGCTACTAGTCATATAGATGGGCTGCCCAATTTTATGTCGTTTCTTTTGGATTTTTATTGATAATACACTTCCTATGTATTATGATTTGATTAATAAAATACTTGATTACCTTAAAAAAAAAAAAAAAAAAAAGCTATATGATTAGAAGCCGCGGTATTAAACAAGGTATACAAAATCGGATAAAATAGTTCTTTGATTTGCTTTGTCGTTTGTGTTTGGTCTTCAAAACGGTGATTGTTCCTTTCTCTTCGTACACACTATACAATGCATCCCAGGATAAAATTCCATACAAAATTGTTGTCCTTATCACGAAGTTTTCTCCTTCATACCTGCAACACATCCTCTATACACCTAGACAACACACAATTCATATGTTGAGACGCTAGAATACTGTTCCATGGCCAAAGAACACCATCATAATGAATAAGCAAGTGGTCAATCGTCTCCTTATCATTCTTACACATATAGCACCACTTGATTATATAAAAACCTTTTCTTTGAAGATTATCCACCATTAACATGTCCCTCACTACCGTTCACAGTAAAAATACCACTCGTAGAGGTAATTTACATTTCCACACCATCTTCCAGGGGAATGAACTCTCCACATGTCCCAAAGGGATTTGAAATAAGAGCAAACTGAAAAAATACCATCACATGCCAATCTCTACTTACTACGATCACCCTCTCCTACTCGAATTTGAACCTCATGCAAGGAGGTCAAGAATAATGCATAATCATCCAATTCCCAATCCTGTAAACCCCTCCCAAAAGTAATATTTAAGTTGTAACTCTCATTGTAAATGTCTAATACATCATTCACTGTAGCAAAAGGCAAGGCAATGCGATGCAAGGATGAATACCCCACTTTAGTAGATATAAATATGTACTACAGTTACAAAAGTAATTCTTTCTTCAACCATTTACGCTAGTTAATTAATCTTTCTCCATTTATTAAATATCAATTATTAATTTTGTATGGCAGCCATTGATCCATTTTGTCTTTATTAGTTCCTTTTTTGTGTATTTTTGCTTAAATCATGGACTCTCTCTCTTAACTAAGAACTAAACATTAAGGAAACCAAACAGCAACCATGTATAGTTATTATCCAAAGGGAAATGCATTTGATGAATGTCTTTCATATAATTTATGAAATGAAATTTCAAGACAAATTATTCATAGTTGAATGTTTGTATCAGTACGATGTGTAAGATTATGTTTTTACCCCTCAAGCCTGCTATGTAAACTTTTTATTCATGTTGACAGTGAACACAATGTTGAAAACATGATTACTTTGTCTCAATAATGAAAATTTCTTACTTTTTTGGCACAGAAGCCCGATAATCTTGTCAGTTCATCACAAAGTGCCGATTATGAGAGCTCTGTTAATGGTTCGCCTGCATCCTCATCAAAATCGTCCCAAAGTAGAGTTGCTTTTAGCGATATGAAAGATGGACAGAGGAAATCTATCAGTAGAAGAGTTGACGATGCCTCTAGAGTTGATTTTCTTCGTGACAGAACTCAAGCCGGTGATTTGTTCAGTGCAGCCATTAATGGCCGGCGTCTCCCACCAGTGAGTTGCAGTTTACTCCAAGCACAATTCATTATTAGATATTAAACTTGGAAGCATATTTCCTAACTTTTACCCTCCTTTAGCAAGTTTATAGCGTTCTTTCTAGAGGGTTAACAGTTTGTCTATCTTGTTTGAAAAACCTTTCAGGTTGTATGCTATAATTTATTTTATACAAATTACAGCCCCTTTTTCTACAATTTTTTTATTACCCATGTATTTGATTATATACTCATCCATTGGATGTGAAATCACGTGTCTATATTTTTCAGTAATATTTTTCTTAAGCGGCTTGCTCTTACATGGGACACCTGTTTTTCCATCTGGAGGAAGTTTCTTCTTTCTGCATTAACAGCCTGCCAACCATTTTCACCAATAATCGATTTTGCCATGTTGCCTTGAGCTATTAGCTTTGCTTAAAATGAAAAAAATCTAAATTTCTTGTAGACTGGGACCACCATCACTGATCAAATGGATCTTTTGCGTGAGCAAATAAAAATGTTAGCTGGAGAGTTGGCGCTATGCACTAGTTCTCTGAAAAGATTATCAGAACAAGCAACGAAGAATCCCGAAGACCAGCAACTTCAGGTTGGTTATTTTTTTCTGACTTCATTACGACTACACATCCACACGAGTATGCTGCAAAAAGTCATTATTTTGTGAAAATATTCTTCTGGATTTTATTGTCCAATGTTATCTATATAAAGTTGAGATTACTTGATTTGAGATGGATCAAATGTCTTGACAATTTGTGCTAACGCAAGAAGGTCTGTGCCCTTGTTTATATATGCTTTAGATGGTACGCCTGAGTTTTAGGTTGAGAATTAAGTGGAAAATTATGCATACCAATTTGTTTACTCCTAAATATCTATGTCAAGTTGAGTATAGACATTCGAAGTGTATATGGAAAATCTCCTACTTATTTTTTATTTATATATATATATATATATATTTATTTATTTATTTATTTATTTATTATTATTATTATTATTATTATTTTTTACAAAGTTCATATATTTGATTGATGGTGATTTTTGTTTTTGTCATGGTCATTTGATCTAGGAAAACATGCTAAAGCTGAAGGATGAAATAAGAGAAAAGAAGCTTCAAATGAAAGCACTGGAACAACGTATGCTTGGATCAGTGGAGATATCTCCACATGCTTCAAGCAGTGCCGAGATATATGAGGTGAAATGGATTAAAATGATACACTAAGAGAGATACAAAATGTTGTACATCTCCTCACATGCCTGCCAGACTCATTTGGGGACTTGCTGATGCTGTGGGGACAAATTTCTTCATTTGATTTTTGCGTTCTAACTTGCTTCATTTAAATTTTCTTCATCATTTATACTAAGAACTTCAATTTAACTGGGCATATTTTCATGTTCCATGTTTTGCAGGCTTTGTCTAGGCTAGCTACTCAACTGATTGAGAAAACTTTTGAACTTGAGGTATGCTAAAGCTATTATAGTTGTCCGTGTTTAACAAATTGACATCAATTGGAAATATATGGACTAACTTGGACAAATTTCTCATGTCATGGTTGACAAAGATTAAATCAGCAGATAACAGGGTCCTTCAGGAGCAACTACAAGCGAAGGTAAATTCAGTTTTTGGTTTAGTTTATTCCTTTTACTATTACCTTATTAATTGACTTAGTTTTGTTTGCAACTAGACATTGGAAAATGCTGAGATGCAAGAAACCATCTTGCTGCTAAGGCAGGAAATTGATTCCTTGCTATTGGATAAAAGTTCAAGTGCACCTCAAAATATTGATAATGATTGGAAACCACCTCCAAGCTGCTCTGAAGAATCTTTAATCGTGAAAAGTGGGAGGGATGAGATTAAGTCGTGTGAAGAAACATCTCTTGAAGATAATACACGAAGTAGTACTATGAGCTTAAATAGGATATTCAACGCTGAGGAGGCCAAAGGTTGCAATACTGATGCATTTTTTAATTCTCAGCTTTTGCAGGTAGGCACTGATTAGGCTCTTAGTGGCCTTTCTAGTCTAACTATGGGAATGGCAACTTACATCTATCCTCATCTTGCTATTCATGAGTTATTTTCCTTAATATTAAATTATTATTACCCATATCTTCTGTTGCTTAGGCTGCGGAGATAGAATCATTGAAGCAAGAGAAGGCAAAACTTGTGGAAGAGAAGGAGGGACTAGAAATCCACAGCCAAAAGCTAGCTGAGGAAGCTTCTTATGCAAAAGAGCTTGCAGCAGCAGCAGCGGTTGAGCTCCGGAGTTTGGCAGAAGAAGTTACAAAGCTTTCATACCAAAATGCAAAACTCACTGCTGAGGTGGCTTCGAAAGAGGTTCGCTGTAAAGCAAATTGCTGTCAGAGGTCAGGTTCAATCAATATGAAGCAAGCTAAAATCAATGGTGGTCGATCTGATGCACGTGTGAGAAAGCCAGAGGACAGTTTGTCTATGGAGGAGCTTGAGCAAGAAAGAAATGCACGATACCAAAGAGAGGCCTCTTTGGTCAACGCGTTGTCTGAAAGAGATAAAATAGAAGTTGAACTGCGAAAGAAACTTGATGAAGCAAAGAGGCGTGAAGAGAATTTAGAAAATGAGCTTGCAAACATGTGGGTTTTGGTTGCAAATATGCGCAAATCTGTCACTAGCATTGAGGAGGCCTCATTTAAGGGGGTCAACGCTTCTAATATTTTGGAGAAAAAAATTAGCGATGGATGTTCATCATCTGATGGCCAGTTGATAACAAAGTTTTACGAGAATGGGGCAAGTGAAAGTCTAGAAGAAGCAAGTTCACTTGAAGAGTTAGAAGCTTGCTCTAATTTGGAGAGGAGATGTAAAGAGCTTGACAATTTAGTTTTGAGATTAAAGGTAAGCACTTGCATTTATGCTAAGCTGAGTAGAGTAAGTGACAAAGATTAATACAAAATTTTCTTTACCATAATTATTTGGTTAATCTTTCATAAGAACTGATTTAAGAATGCAAATTATGATAATATAGAAGAGAAGGCCTCAAAATTTTTTTAGTTAGCCTCAAGCTTATATGAATTGATTTTTCACCTTGTTTATGGTATCTCTCTCCCTTTTGCTCCCTGTTACCCACCCCCTTTCTCCACTCCTTTCATATAGTGCAAAGGTCTTTTTTCCACGTGGACTGTTGAACTGTTTATGATTGATGAAAATGGCACCTTTGGTCACCGTTCTGCATTCCTGTCCCCAAAGAGAGGGGTTGTGTTTCTTTCACTTTCTTTGTTGGATTGAATACAAAGCCAAAAGCTAAAGATCATATCAAGGCTAAATCATTTATTGATGCTCTGTTTTAAAGGAATTGATTTGGCTTTATGGTTCAAATATATTTTTGTTGTAGGATCAATTGAGACTCCTCGACAATGCATGTCCCTAAGCAAATTGACATCCAGAAATTTTGTGAACATTTTAATGGGTTTTCCCTCTTTTTCAGGGTGATGATGTTTCTGGTTTGGATATTAATACTCTTGAAGAGCTGCAAAACTTCCATATAGAGGCTATTACCAAGATTTGTCATTCAAAAGTGAGATATATCTCCTGATGGGTGAAATTTTTTCTTCACCTGAATTATGGCTGACTTTAGCTGCATGTTCATTCTTTTAATTAGAATGTCCATATGTGAAAGTTTTGTATTTTATAATGGTTCCCTCTGGATACGAGTCATTATAGTTCAACTCATGTCTTATGTATAGCTTGAATTGAAACTGTGTTCTTGCCTGATGCATAGTGAGGACCCTTATTTCTTGCTCACAACGGAACACTTAAAACGCAATGGACAATTCCGATGCTTGGTGGATTTTTAAAGTTGATGATGGACATTTCATTGTTTCTCGGTGCAAATATTAATTCATCCATAAGATTTCTGTTCATTGCACGAGTCCTACACTTTTACGGCATGTTTGGTAAAATGCAATGGACAGACTATTTAGTATCGAGAAATTAAAAAAAGCTAAAACTTTTGTTCAACATTTGCTTCTTTTCTCTGCATTAATAATATGCAAATAAAGCCCATGAAACATAACTAACGTACTTCTCATGTCTGTCTTGTGTAAACTTGTGGGTGCTTCATGTTTTTTCCTTGGAGCTGTATTTTCCATTTTTATGTGTATAAAATCCTCGTGGTTGCGTAAGTACTATGATGTTTCCCCGTCTTCTAAGTGTCATATGGTGTTCAACTTATAGATCAAAAGGGTCAGGATTCTACTGATGAGTTAATGCTAACTAGTGTCACAGTCGTGTATAAATATAGATTTATGCATTTCCATGTCATGATGTCATCACCTGTTTCCTCTTGGAGATCTAGGGAAAATCCAGACAAGGTTGAAATTGGCACGTTAGAGGTTTTTCCCAGTTAGTATAATTCCCAGACAGGCATCGTGTCACTTTGATCTGATGTACAGTTGTCATTTTTTTTTTTTGGATAATATGACTCGAGTATTATGGTAATTGTTCTTCAAAAGATTTTAAAATTCCTGCATTACATTTAGAAGATGACGACCTGATTAAAATGTAGATTTGCATATTTGAGAAACTATTTTTTTGTAGTTACTATGCCTTTTGTTCCAAGTAAAATATTTCCTGCACATTTGAGTTTGGGCATATTGACTGATATTTGCAGGCTAACGCACAGTTCTCGAATCACGTTTTATAGCATTTCAGAGAGTTCCAAGATTTTAGGTGAGCAATGATTCCTTTTTCCCTGCCAAAGGGACCCTTCCAGGTCTTTGAATTGAATTTTCAGAATGAAAGAATACTTGATTAATCCTATTGAAGCCACAATAATCAGCCAGCCTGTGGCAAAAATGTTCCATTTTCATATGTTCTTTTTAGTCCACATGACCCAAAAATATTTTAGCTATGTTCATATATTTATATTTTCCATTTTTTACTTTATCTCAACATGTTGCATGTTTTATTGGTAATACCTTGGTATTGAACCACCTCTTCTAGATCTCAAGTTGTTAGAGAGGAAATATTATATTAATTTAGTGCTTGTTTGGGAGCAATTCTTGCCTGATTGTAATGAAAATTGTGGCCGACTCCAAATTTTGCCACAACCATAAATGCATGCATGTGATATTACAATGATACCCCTCTATAAAAGCCCCACCCCCACTCTCACCATAGTCCAAAGGGTATTTTGATAATATTTTTATAAGCCTCAGTCACAGGAATTCAAAAAAGATAGCATAGGCACACAAACGGTCAAAAAATTCATTTTTATGTCTGAAAACTTCTCCTAGACATGGGCTTAGTCTTCAACATGCCACTTGACGCACTGATAGAATTCATTTTATCATAGGCCTCGAATGTACAATTTTCAAAAATTAGTGGCATCGAAAGTTGAACTAAAAGAGCTCTGCATGCTCTCAATGCCATGTTGAAGCAAGCAACTCATCAAACGCTTAAGGTGTTGGAGATAGATCACATTTATCTATTTAAATTTAGTCTTCAACACTTTTGCAATGTTTTAATCCTGCCTTTTGCTACATCTGTTTAGTGGGAAACTCATTTCAAATTTAAACTCGTATGGAGGTTGACACGTTGAGGCTGCTGTATACTCTTATCTTCTCTCGACTGGTTGACTCTCAAAACGTGAAAGTTTTTATGGCTTATGATATGTTTCCTTTTGCTGCACATTTGAGTTTTGGCATATTGACTGATATTTGCAGGCTAACGCACAGTTCTCGAATCATGTTTTATAGCATTTCAGAGAGTTCCAGGATTTTAGGTAAGCAATGATTCCTTTTTCCCTGGCAAAGGGACCCTTCCAGGTCTTTGAATTGAATTTTCAGAATGAAAGAATTCTTGATTAATCCTATTGAAACCACAATAATCAGCCAGCCTGTGGCAAAAATGTTCCATTTTCATATGTTCTTTTTAGTACACATGACCCAAAAAATATTTTAGCTATGTTCATATATTTATATTTTCCATTTTTTACTTTATCTCAACATGTTGCATGTTTTATTGGTAATACCTTGGTATTGAACCACCTCTTCTAGATCTCAAGTTGTTAGAGAGGAAATATTATATTAATTTAGTGCTTGTTTGGGAGCAATTCTTGCCTGATTGTAATGAAAATTGTGGCCATTGGAGCCGTAATTATCAACTTCAAATTTTGCCACAACCATAAATGCATGCATGTGATATTACAATGATACCCCTCTATAAAGGGGGTTAAGCTCAATACATGGTTCATCTCAAAGTGCGATCGAGCAGCTTATGGGTTGAGTAGGCTCGAGGCAGGTTTGTTAGCAGGTCGGCCCCCTTGCCACCCTTAACTCAGAGTAAGGCTTCACATATGGCATAATTGTCACACAGCTTCTCTTTTAAATCTAAACTTGAGTAGTGAATTGTATGTTTGTAGAGGGTAAAATATGGAAAAAAAAACAAAAAAGAAGTCTCTTATTTCTAATTTGAAAATGAACTTTTATGTTTGTAGAGTTTCAAATGTGTATAAAAACCTTTAAGAATTTAATGTTCCTAGGGGAAGTGATTCATGTTAGGTAGTACCGATCTTTGTTCTTTCAAGTACATGTGCTGATGGAAGATCGAAAAATGGGTAAGAAAATTCACAAGCATGTAGCGGCGAGGGTGTGAAAATATTATCTTTTGTCATCTGGCAGTTGAAGTCAGTATACCAATGTTGAAACATGAAAACGGAACTGATGTATCTTACTTCGTGAATTAAGGATAATCAGTATGCCTGTATGTTTTGAGTCGAAAAACAGTTCATGAGAAAGGCTCAAAGTTTTTACCAATCTCTTTTGATTTGTGTAGAATGAAACAAATGATTATTGTTCAAGACAATATTTAAATGATATATATGTGGACCTTTCTAACAACTTAAACTTTTAGATTAAATGGTTTAACATGGTATTAGAGCAAGCAAATTCTGTACATACAAGGCTTTTATTGGAACAATGTATCTCACCTACACGTAAAGAGCGTGTTTAAGACAATTATTCAATTATATACATTTCAATTACATGTGGCCTTCTTTAACAATTTAAACTTTTAGATTAGATAAAAAATTAGGTTACTTTCATGAGTGTTCAGACTCAATCCGAATAGATTTACCACCATTGTCCACTTGAAAAGGAGTCATGAAAACGTTACCACGAAGTCCATCCAAGTTTCCTTAGACTAAGTCTTACCATGTTATTGTTGTATTGTAACAGAAACAAATATATATGGACGAAAAAAAAAACCAACACTAAGAAATACAAACAAACAATCATTTATATTGCTCTTTGAATGGATCCAAACTAGTCGGTTTACACCAATGAATTTGTTTATGCAAGTGGATGGACATTGTTATTTGACGATTGTCAATATAGTAAGAAGTACAAGATTTAATAATCAGATATATTATATGTAGTAAAACTTTCTGGTGTAGTGAAATTTCATGATCATAATTTGTATCAGCCAGAAAATCAACTTTAGGGCGAATTGAAGTCTTGCTTCCTCTTTTTTCCTGGAGGGATGTGTATCATGGTCCGTGGCTTTGCGAATAGTGATTTAATTGATGATGAAGAAAGAGAATTCTTGGTTCAGTTCTCCCCCTTAACGACAGAAAAAAGGATTGATCAAATTTTCTCACACAAAACAGATTAAAACTTCAGTAAATATTAATTTGAATAATATAATAAGGCTCCTTTATCGTGTATGATAAAAAATGTAACTTACTAGAAAGCTGCGCCGGTAGATCACTGCAATTCGTGTCACCCCAACTAATTCCTGGTTTTCATATTCATATATCACCAGCCTCTGTTGCAGAGGAAGGTCTGTACAGCTAAAATTTGATAATTGGCTTAATAGATAAAGAATTCACTAAGTTATTCTTTAGACGCCTTAGTATTTATTACCTCCAATTACGTTCAGGTTTTCAGATTCCGGACCAAGTTCCTGGCTGTCTAGGATCCCCAAACACACATTATCCTGAGGCCGTTTAAGAGCTTGCTAAATGCTTTCTTCTTCCATTTTTATTTTATTTTATTTTTATTATTATTATTTTTTAATTTAACGCGTTCATAATAATTTTCGGCAGGTTCTCACACTAACAGTAAGATAGTCAAATGGTGCTAGTTGAAAATAGACACGTGTCACTCTTGAAGCTCAAATATAAAGATCCGAAAGAGTCCAAGAAGGCATCTGAAGATGTCACAGGTTTCCAGCAGACGGGAAGATACGGATCCACGACTGGGGTTCCCGCCTTCAATGCCGATTCTTTCACCTGAAAAATTAACCAGAGGATAATAAATTGATGTTGGTTGATGGATTTTAATCATCACAATAGTTAATTAATTTTCATTTGAAGGTTAAAATCATGTGATTTTAGTAATCTTGAAATCATTGGATTATAAAATCCTCACACATAGAAAGGGGAGATGATAACCTTTTTAAGTAGCTTTTAATGGTCTAGTTAATTGTTTCCTCCCTTAGATCTTCTTCCTTCTTCTCCACTAGGTGTATTTCCTTCTCAAGAAAGTGAAAAGTGACTAACCCTAATTCTCATATAAAATATACCAATAAAGTGCATATTTATAATGTCCTATTAGGATTTGGAAATTGCACAAATTTCCTTAAACTTTAATGTAGAAATCACACACATTTTATTGAAGCCAAGAGAAGGATCTAACCGGACTCACATAACCCAAACTCCAATAGATGTTTCCAATTGGGTCAGCTCTTGACCAATTGAGATACATCTATTAATCCCGGCTTATCCTATCAAAAAATCAATATTGCACTCTCGAATCGAGTGATAGTTATAGAAGCAAATTATGATCCAATAACAATATCTTTCGATTATCGTTTCACAAGTCAACCCCCATTTAACCGCCAATATGTTGAAACTGACAAAATGATCGTTTTGCCCTTCAACATTAATTACCCTCTAAATCCCATTTTCATGCGGCAAATTCGTTGTGATCAAATTACAATGTAAAGTCCAACGATCTCATCGTCGACCTACTGAGCTCAGATTCAATTTGCCTAGAAAAATACCTTAAAGTGACGATCATCTCATCTCAATGATTAATGGATTCCACTATTGTAAGTATATGATCTCTAATTGTTTCGGTCCGATTCTCAAAGCATCGAGATGGATCGTCTATTTAAGATTTTACTCGTTGGTACCTCAAAAACTAGAACTAGCAATCAAAAGTACATTACTCACTTAGGATTTAGGTGACCTGTTTGATTATCAAGTAGAATCTCATTTCGAACGGTCACAAATGAGTCATCTATGCGGTTCCGTTTAATGTGCATCGAAACATATTATTGTTCCTATTTCAAGATCTAGACAAATCTTAATAAGAACAATACAATCTTATCAACATAAAGCGTCCAACTTTATGAATCGGTTGTGAACGACATAATTTTGGTCACATCACGAATTGTGTTTTACAATACCCGACCCATCGAGTATACAATTTGTGACATCCTATATGATCATGGAACCTTAGATAATCACTTCAAATTATAATACGCAAAGAAACGAACGTCAATTCATAATGTGATTTTACAGAACACAACTCGAAGAATGGACATCAAGCTAACAATTGATTCTATGGATAACATGCATCATTAAATTCTCTCTTCTGTCTCACCTGAGAAAGAACAGCTTGGTATATTGCAGGGCTGAAGTATCTGTAAGTAGTCCCACTATCCAACGAAAAATGCAACACAGATACGAGAAGATTATCTTCATAAATGATGTCTGCGGGGCCAAGCCTACATGTAATTTTCAAGACGCGTAAAATTAGTCTCTTTATAGTCTTGTGTGAAGTACATTTTGGTATAGATGAACTAATTTCAGTGAATTTTGCTTACTCAAGGTGATCGTTTGCCAGTGACCTCCATGTAATATCTGGTGAATTTGATAGAGAATCTCCGAGGACAAGATATCCAGGGCCATTTTTATCACTCGAGCAAAGGGCCATAACCTTTTTACTGCTTACCTGTGACAAAATACTTGTTTCGCCACTGCCCAGGCCTAGAACTCCATCTGTAAAAGGAGGACAAAGCGAAGGAGAAAATTCTTGATGATATCCGCACCTGCCAGTAGGCAGTAAGATTTGTTTAGTAAGTATAAAGAAAAGAGTAAATAATGTCTGATAGCTTAGCAAATAACAATAGCTCAAAAGGCATTTCATGAAATACCACCTACTTACAGAACTTGAGAAAACCAATTTGCATTAGTCAAAGAAAATAACCTTATAAATCAAAATGATGGAATTACCAAAATTCTTTCCACTCTTTGTCCCACTAAAAAAGTTCAAATAATGGCCACAACATTTAAAACCGTGTTTGATTTGCAAAATGAGAACTCTACTTACCCAAATGTGAGAGTGGGAATGTATTGTAGTTGATTTCCCTTTAAGGAGGAAGAGAGTACGAAGGTGTCCTTAACCAAAACACCGAGAGATGTACCATGTTCTGCATATTCAATCTGTTTCGCGCGGGTTAGTCGCTAACAATTAAAAAGGATTAGACGATTGTGTAAGGGACAAATCTCTTGAGACAAAGTCCCAAAAAGG